AAGGCCACACTGCTCGCTTGGACTGGAGACTTCGAGATGCCGCAGTGCTCTTCAAAAGCGTATTGAGACTGTTAGCGTATTCAATGCTGGGCTGGGGATCTCTCCTCAAAGCAGCTAGACCCGGCATGCTTGCAGAGCCCAAAATATGTGGTAGACATCCAGGACAATTCAAATAAATGCTAGACGTCCAGGGAAGGTCAGCCCACGCCCCGATCTCTGGCTGTGTCCAGCGGTTTCATATATATGGGTACACACTCACCGATAACCGAAGTGCACAGATGGCACTGGTGTTGACTCACGTACATGGTATTCGGGTTAGTTTATAGGTCCCCCGTTTTTTTGGGGGGGGGAACTGGAATATTTTTGCACTCACTGGACTGCGCTGACTTTTCGGAGGTAAGATTTTTGATACCACTGTTGTACCAGCACGCCACTCGCTCGGGACTATTCTTTCGAAATAATGGAACAGCCATATTCAATACCTACTGTTTTTGGGTGCGGTGTCCTGTTGTAATGTTATGCGTGTCACTCTGTCGGGAGTTCCACTTGGCTGAACAAACAAGCTGCTTTCACACTTCCTTGTGGCATAATTAAAACAGGGAGAGGACTGATCCAGTGTGGCAGGGATATCTGCACGCGGCCAAACGCTGGCACGTGATGCATTTTAAATAAAATGATGGCAGACAAATTCATATGTTTTAAATCCCTGCGTTTTGGAGCCTAATCGTCGTGTTTGGTGCGTCGTCAGTTAGTTGCTTCATTGTTCTTTGTTTTTGCCTTGAATTTTGCTCGTGCAAGATGCAAGTTTTAGCAACTACAAGTTTTTTCACGCACGTGTTGGTGATGGAGCGCGTGTGTTATGAAGCGGCGGCAGGTGTGTATATTAACGGTTATGGCTAATGCGAAAAATATGGTGCCTCACCTACGTGGTCATGCAGGTCAAAGATACTCAACAACAATATACAATTACCAACCACGACAGGCAGCTGGCCTTGGTAGACATAATGATAAATGATAGAGGCGAGAGGACAACGTGAGGGAGCGTCCACGTTCTAGACGTAATAGGACCTGATATGATTAAGTCCTTAAACTGATTCTTGTGATTGGACGGCCTGCGCTTCGTTAATCTACTTTGTCGGTAGACAGCAATGACCTCCACTTGGCAAAAGTTATGGAAACCTGGTTGCAAACAAGTGGTGTGGAATGTAGCCATTCATGTTGATATATTTAATCTACAGATAACGTCTGTGCCAATGCTAGTGTTGTTATTCACGCTTCAGTGGGTGACAATATATACTATGCTCCTTGCATTGAAATGAGCGTGTGAAGTTAATAGCGTTCCCACTAACAGCGAACCTTGATTCAACTGTGGCGTATACCAGCCTGCGATTCATGTTTCGGGTTGCATTAATCCTGCATTATTGCATCTACGAGGGCCTGAACTTTTTCGGGACCACTTTCCAACCACCAAGATCATGATCTGCCAAAGTACTCCAATTGGTAGACAAGGCAACACGCGTTTACAATAAGGCAAAAGGAAACTAAAAAACTAGGCAGAGTGGAAGTGTTACGACTTTTGCTCAGTCTTCTGGACATACATGTGTCATTCTGGAATGCGAATACTATCAGGCGTTCATACGCCACTCATGCCTTGGTGGTGCCTTTGTCACAAGGCAATGAACTTGTGTCTTTACGATTTTACTTTAACTCGTGTGGTGAAACACTAGTAATTGCATGATATAGATCGCTATGTCAGCTTCTGCTGAATTATGTGTATTGTTTTTGCAACCTGTGAAATCAATGACGTAATAACAATCTTCAGAAGAAGCAGCACAGGCAGTGAAACGACTTTGAGTCCTGAACATCGCTGCATCCCAAACCAAAGCTTGCTAAAGGTTTGGTAATGTGTCATGATAATGCTTATGCAGTCTGAGTCTGACTTATTATTTTAGCTGTCGTCGATGCATATGGCATGTGTGTTTTTCACTGGACCGTAATTGTTTTAATTGCAACATTTATCAGAATGTTTAGGAATGTGGTGCCACTTGTCAAAGTATATTTTGTGGCAGGTTCGCTTTGTTCCGGATTCTGTATTTCATTGCTGTATTCACACGACAATTGGGTTGAAACGAGGCTCAAATGTTATGCATTACTTGGGTTTGAATACTTGCAGGTATTTTGACGAGATAACAGCAAAAAAGCGCCGTTAGTTTTGCAAGCCAGCGTCTAGCGCGCGCTTGGACAACTTGTGTGACGTAAAAGCACATTGCATGTTCTTGATCTTATTTTTGCTATCGACATTGGATTTTTCAGACGTCACTATGAGTTTCACGACTTTTAAATCGAGTAATTTCGTGCCACATACCGTCCTGCAGGTACCCTATATTTTTTTGTCATTTCAATTTCTTTATATGTTAGGCCAGTCTGTAACTATTGACAGATTGGACGCCCGGATTGCGACAAAAAAGATGCGCTGCAAGATTCGACAGCTTTTAAAATATGGTGTTTTTGTCGTTCGCATGTGTGCGCAGGTTTCATCTATAAATCATATTTTCGTGAAGACAATTTTGTTGTTACACATTTCTAACTACTGCTTCTTCGCGAACCTAATGCAGGTTTGTGAAACATGGACCCTCGCAGGATTTGCGGTCGGGGGTGAGGAAACTTAGAAATGAAAACCAGGTTAAGTGTGCCGCAGGCCGAATTTGTAAGCATATGTATAAACATATGTATCATCCTTGACATCAAGCGTCCCCGCCCGTAGGCTCCTGCTGCTCAGAGCCGGTATGGACGTCCAATTGAATGTGGACGTCCAGCCGGCAGCCCCGCTCGTGGCGGTATGCACGCCTGCGCCTGACGTCCACACAGGTGAGACGTGAGAAGCGAGACGTGTTGTGAGAAGTTAGAAGGGGGCAACATGCGGTGTTATTAAGTAAATGGAGGCTGAAAATCTGTGTCCCTGTTCAAGGAGAAAAGTTCTGGCCAGTATGGGGGTCGAACCCATGACATTCGCGTTATTAGCACGACGCTCTAACCAACTGAGCTAACCGGCCGAGTGGCGGGGTGGAACGTAAAGCATGTCTGCGCTAAACGTGCATAATTGAGCTAGGATGTGACATTTAAGTTATATTATATGGAATGTGCCGATGCACTGTCTGTGACGGAAAGAGTGCCGTTGTCTTAAAGCGGGACGTGGTGTGTTCACCAAGCAGGCTCGTCTTGCTTAACCTGCCTTCGGATTTCACCGGAGATTTTCTTATAAGGTTTGAAAGGTGAGGCGGGTTATCAATGGTAGCTGGCCCATGGTTAGTTACTCATTGTTCATCCTTGCCATCGCCAATAAGGACTCTCGTAAACATACCTGAGCGGGGAATTTTAGGTCAAGTAAAATGTAATTGCTACGCGGGGAGGCAAAGTATCCAGACATGTTTGACGCCAAGGAGACGATCATGGCGCGCGTAGCATCCACTGCCTCATACCATTTGTTCAATCAAGTCGTAAGTGCACGCGTCGGTGTTTCGGTGACATTTCCCTTATGATATTTTAACCTTCATTTGTGTGCATCCCAAATTTGTTCAGAAAACATCCGAAAAGTGTGCATGCTGTGTTTGGCCTCTGATTTCAATTCCGTATTTATCCCAGCTTTCCTTACAATAACCCCTGTCCCCGTTCTAGTTAAATCATAAGGTGAACTCGTCGATCTACCAACGCGGGCAGACACAGCGCCGTCCTTTGGGGGGGGGGAGAGGAGAGGAGAGGGGGCGCTGCTTTGTCTGGTCAGAGGTCACAAAGCTATTGTGCTTTTCACATGGTAATCGAATTTTGCGTCCTTTTAACACAATGAGTTCTAAAACAGCCGTTGTTCATGAACCAAATGTGCGATGGTTAACCTGACCACACACGTTGAGAAGGGGATGACCCGGCTGCCCTCTTCTGGATCCGCCGCTGCTTACCAGTTTTGTAAACGGTGTAGGCGGCCCCGATGAGTACGGTTCCGTGTGTTCCTCCACGACCGCGCACAAACTCTGGTGACGAACGCCGCGGGGCCTCGCCGCAGCACGTGCTGCACTCAGGCCACTAACCGCCGTCTCGGTTCGCCCTCAGACTCTGCCGGCTGTGCGGCGATGGCGGCCGTGCCTGAGCCGGCTGACGCGCCGCCCGTGCCGGCGGCCGACCCGGCGCCGCCTGCCGGCGAGCTCACCAACGGCGCCGCGCTCGACTCTCCCTCCAAGAGCCGGCGCAAGCAGGAGCTGGTGGTGCGCTCGGCCGCCGCCGAGCCTATGATCGTGGCGCCGCCGCCGCCGCCGCCGCCGCCGCCGCCGCCGCTCGGCGAGGACGCCAGGGCGGCGTCGGCGCACCGGCGCAAGCAGCCCAGCCCCAAGCGCAAGCTGACGGACTCACCGACGCGACTGATCGCGCAGCACAAGCGGGCGCGCGCGGCCGGGCCGGCCGGCGCCGCGCCGCGCGCCAAGCGCCGCCTCAAGGTGGTGACCAAGGGCCCGGCGCCGGCTACGGCGGCGGCGGCGGCAGCGGCGGCAGCAACAGCGGCGGCGGCGGCGGCGGCGGCGGCGCGGCTGTCCGGCCCGCCGGCACCGCCGCCGCCGGCGGAGGAGGCGGTGGCCGCCGTTGCTGGACCGTCGGCTACGGACGGTGAGGCGACCGGACGCCGCGGCCGGCGGCGCGCGTCGGTGGCCGAGGGAGGCGCCGCGGATGACGCGGCGGTGGCGCCGTCGCCGGCGAGTGCGTCGCCAGTGAAGCCGCGCGCAGCGGCCAGTGCCGGGGAGGCCAGCGGGACGTCGGCGTCGGCCGGCGCGTCGGCGAAGCCGGGCAGGGGCGGCAGGCGCCGCCGACGACGCCGGCCGGCCACTGGCTTCGTGGCGAGGCGGGCCGTGGTAAAACGCCGCTCGGCGGCCGCGGCGAGAACTAGGGGTGTGGCGAACGGCCACGGCAGGGCGCACTCGCCGCGAAAGAAGCGGACGGTGGGCGATTTGAGCATCAACATGAAGGAGCCGTTCGGCGTGTCACCCACCAAGACCCGCGGTCGACTCAGGTAAGCGACTCAGGTCAACTCCGGTGAGCGACTCAGGTCAACTCCGTTGAGCGACTCAGGTCGGCTCAGGTGGGCGGCCGCCAGGGCGTGCTCCAGGCCGGTGGTCCGCCACCGCCCCCGCCGCCGTGCTCCGGCGCATGGGCGGCTGTCCGTGCTGTAGTCGGTGCTGTGCAGCCCGTGTGGTGTCAGGTCAGCAACAAGGTCGCCACGGTCGGGTCTGCAGTTGGCCCGCCAGTTGACCCGCCGTTGAACCGCCGTGGTTTGGCAGAGTTTCAATGTTTGGCTTCTCGGGTGGCAGAGATGTCAAGAAATGTCATGGTATTACGCCTCCAGCTGGAGGTTCTCTGGCTGTTGCCCCTTCCTTTGCTCAACATTGACCAATGAGCGTCCAACTGGGCGGCGATCAACCAGCATCAAAGCGTCTCAGGCTTACCGAATGGGCCGGGCACGTCAGATGCCTAGGGTCTGGGCCAAAGGGCAACGCATCGCAGGCTGTGTGCCGGTAGTGTAGTGGTTAACTTGTCCGCGGTAACCATTAGGCGCCTGGGAAACCACGGGTGCAGGGTTCGATTCCCCGTGGGACGTGCGCTCTCTGCCAGAGTGAAAGGTAAGCGACGCCACATAGCCTCAGCAGCTGGGTGCATCGTAAAGCCCCTACGACAACAACAGCGAATTGTGTGCAGGGTCACAGGAGAGCGAGGTTTCTGACTGCGTGAATTTAATGTACGTTCTGCACACCCTGCCGGATGAATTTGGAATGCTGCGGTGTGGCCAGCGTTTTGTCCACCATGGTCCGTTCCATGGCTTATTCGCCACTGTCCGGTCCACATCGTCCACTGTGGTCTGTTGTGGGTTGTACCCACCGTGTTCTGGTGGTCTTCTGCGCTTCGTGCACCCGCATAGTTTGTCCAGCCGTGTGACCCGGCCGGTTCTGGTTCAGCACGGCGCCGGTCAGACGCTGGCATGGCGCGGCGCGATGACGTCATCAATGCC